TTATTGTTGCACACACTCCTCACCTTCATTGCTTAGGGTTGTTGGGAAGCGTTTAGTACCTATAAGCGCATCCTATTCCAAGGGAATTGGTGTGTACTTTTATTTTACCTCCTGCTTGTGAGAGGAACCTGCAGGAGTAGTTATTCCATTGATTCCCTTTCCTTGTGGTGTATGATGTGTAAAGAGGCTCCGACTTCACTCAGAATCACATAGAGTGTTACAGAGAACCTCCCCACTGAGCCAATTCAAATCACCCTGCCGCAACCGCGTAGATCCGCAGCTGAGATCCTTCACTCATCCATCCCCTGTTGCTCAGTTGTTACACCTATACACATATTGTAACAATAGGCCATTGGGGTTGACTAGAGGCAAATATTTTCAATAGACATTTCGCTTTGAAAAATGTAACTTTGCAAAAAAACAATTATGCGCAAAGAAAAACAAAACAGTATTTTTGTTTACACAAGATTGGATGTTGGAAGTCAGCAGATCTTCACCTCATTCACTCAACTAAGGGGAAACCTCCCCTACTAAGTGCAAATCCTCTTGCAAAGTTAATAGCCTATTTGCCTTTAGCAAATCAGCTTAATAGTGTCTTCTTTGTATTTAGAGGACCTATAGTGTTTGTGTTTGAGTGGCTTTTTAGTCTCAAGTATAAGTAGCTAGTTTTGGTATGTTGCAATAGTTAAGCTGATTTTCCTTGTGTTGTTTCATAACATAGTTTTTCTTTGTGCACAATGAAATTTGCTCTCACAGAATAGCCTATTCCCTGCATCTCTTTTGTGTGAATATTATATTCAGTTGTAAGAAAAGCCAAGGAACTGTCTGGTATGATGTCATCAGTGAATATTTATGAGATGTCCCTGACTTCTCAATCTGTGAGACTGCTAAAATATGTGTAGCTTTATCTACCTCAGAACCCCAACATATAGGAGTGGTTCCTGGGAAAATATTGAGCATTGTTGTAGTTCTATATCGCCTTTTACAAGATCTGTTGACCTTTCTCTTTATATTTATTTCATATGGATCATTTATGTATCAAGTATTTCCATGTCGCTTTAAAGTGTGGATTTTACCATTATAATGCAATAAATAGATTTTATTTATCAATTAACAGCCTACAAAATGCATAAACAGAAAAAAAACTCAACAAATGAATTATATAACATTTATATTTCTTTATGGCTTTGGCTGTATGTTTGGGGTCATTGTCCTGCTGCAGAACGAATTGAGGACCAATCAGCTGCCTCCCTAATGGTATTGAATGATGGATAAGTATCTGACATTACTTTTTAGCATTGATGAGACCGTTAATTCTATTGTAGCACCCTGCTAAAAGAAGTGCTAAAATATACAGTATCTATAGTCTATGTTCGGTTCAACTGTGACAGAACAATCTGTGAAGCTGTGTCTGCCTGTGATGGGTGTGGTACCACACAAAAAAAATATTTATTTTCAAAACACCAAAGATACATATTGGATATTCAATTATAGCAATAAAATAAAATAAAAAACACAATTATAGAACAGAAAAACCAAAGAAAAACAATACATCAGAGTTAGGGTAGCTCTTGGTGCATTTTTATCTTTTTAAAACGTAAAAAAAAAAAAAAACCTCATGGACGTAAGGAGGTTTTTCGTCAAACACGGTCTGGCTGGACCTCTGCCTTCTGCCTGCAGGCATAATTGTTTAATGAAGCACTGGACCATATGCCTGTCAAATTCTTAAAGAGAAACTTTAACCTAATCTTAAAAATGACAAGATGACAAGAACACCCCGTCGGTCTATCTTCTCCACCTGACCCCGCTTTCTCGAAAGGCATATAAACGCTCGCTGCTGATTCACCTGCTGAACGCAGCTAGAGCCTGCATACCAGCTCTGTGGAGACAAACTTGCTCTCCTTCCATAACTATGTGGATAAGGAGGGTGGAGGAGATTAGACTGATGGAGGATCTAACCTCCAGTTTACCGGAGTCGCAGTCCAGATATGTGGCTACATGGGGAGCCTGGGTCCAATTCAGGGGCTCGGATGCTTTCACCACAGTGTGCAGGGAGGACGCGGGAGACTGATGTGCTGCCCAACCATGCCAACCAATTAGTGGAGGATGTATGGCACCGGGGATGATAGAGCTGGGGGCCGCCGGGGAGCTGGACTGCAATCTTCACTTTCATTTCTGCTCTTTCTACGTTTCTTTTTGCTTTATGTTTGTGAGTCAGTGTTTGTCTCTGTCTGCCTAGTATGTGATGCAGGGGGGTGACCGTGTTCGGGCTGGCCTCCCATTTAGTGGGGCTGTACCCGACCACCCGCCCCAACTTAGTGTTCCCTTCTTATTGTGTTTTGTGTTGGTTTATTTTTGCTCACCATAAAATGCCTTAAGGGCGGGGGCAAATATAAATGCCTGAACCGATCTTACAACCTGCTATCGAGTTTTATACTATATGCCTCACTGTTTGTTATTTACACATTTTGCGAGACCATGTGGCCTCCGCATGTTCTCTCTTTCAATGTACCCCACCCTTTTTGTCTAAAAATAAAGAATTAAAAAATAAAAAAATGACAAGAAAGGCACCTTTAGAAAATGTTAGTAATATCAATCTACAGATACTTATAGATAATTGCAGGCTTGTTATACTTTGCATATGTTTTTCTCTTTCCCTCCATTCTTCTCACGTTGGCCATTTTCACTAAGAGCAGATGAATCCATCTCCATTTACTTACAGGAACTCTGGGTCGGTCTCCCGGAACAGGTGACATCATCTGAGGGGGATAAAATTACGCCCCCTCCCCCCCGTGATCTTGCAAGATTTTGTAGTTTACAGATGAGCTTTTCCAGAAAGACACAGGTGATGTAGCCTTCCCAGGATGCATCTGTGAGGCCAGGCCTACATCCCATTAACTCTAAACTGATGATCTGGCATTTAACGCATTGTCTATTGATAATTTTGGGTATTGTAATTTTTTTTTACCTTTCATTGGCCGTACACAGTTTTGAGGCTTGACATATTTGGCATATACTTACTCGACACGACCTGATCTTTATTGTGGGGATTTTATTGTGTTGGTGTGTGCTAAAATTCAATTCTGAAAATATAGAATGTTTTGGGGTATTAAGTTGTTTTATAGCCAAAATGCATATCTTAACATATGTAAAAAAGAATTAATCATTTATCTGGTATTGAAGTGGTATTCACTATTACGGGCTATTCACTATAGCCCGTACAGCTCCCGAAGCTGGCCGTGCTGCTCAGCCGAGCCGAAGGCATATACTTCGGCTCGACTGAGCCAAAGTGAAACCCAAAGCGGGGCCAATGGCCGGCCGAAAGCCTCGCAACTGACAGCTGTGATCTCACAGGTGACTCCGCCCAGTTGCAATGACAGATCAGCGTCCCCTGGTCACCTGGGGACACTGAACTGTCATTAAACAATGAAAACTTGGCATGGCCGGCTCCGCTCAGTTGTTATTCATTGGCCGGCACCTGCTAGAAGGCTCTAGCAGGTCCCGGTCAATAGGAAACAGTTGGACGGAGCTAGCTGTCACTGTCCGCCCAATTGTTTCTTTCTTTTTTTTATTTTGTTTTTCTTGTTTCAATAATATTTTTTTTTCTTTTTTTTTTAAATGTTTATTTCTTTTTTACAATTTATCATTTATTTACATTTGTAAACATTTTTTTCTACTTTTTTTTATTCTACTTTTTTCACAGTTTTTCTATTCTGCTCGGTACCACAGAGGTACTGAGCAGAATAGCCAAGCTGAATGCCGCTCAGCAGCATTCGGCTATTCACTCACTGCCGTTCGGCCCCGATCAGGATGTTGGATCGGCTGAGTCGAACTCCTTCTTCACTTCCGCTCAGTCGAACATGCTGAGCATGTTCGGCTGAACTGAAGCAAGCCAATGTACGGCTGATTTCAGCCGATTTACGGCTGAAATCAGCCGTACTGAGCTACAGTGAATAGCCGAACAGTGTTTCACAAACGGCTCGGCTATTCACTCGGCTGCCTTTGGCAGCTTTGTGAATAAACCAATTAGATTTTTCCCTCAACAAAACAATGCTGCTACCTTGACTCCCAAGAGACTGCCCAAACACTTTATGTAGGGTAAGGGCTCTATAGAGATGTAGTTCTGGTGGACTTGTCTATAACATTAGGAACCGACCACCAAGCAACTGTCCCTGCAAAAAGTTTACAAGCTGGTGATGTTGTCAGACGGAGTAATAAAAGCTCTTTCTCACTACAGAAAATAATGCTGACATGCTCTAGAAGGGCAGAAGGTTTGGGAGTTAGTTTGGCCAATGCATGGACATACGCTTTAGGCTAGCAGTATTTTAAGGGGCATAAACCTATACAACATTCTTTGTGTGTTGACTTTTACAATCAAAATCACTAAAAATCGATAAAATTATGTGGTAAATTGGTCTGATGAATGTGATAGTGAGTTGAACAAAAAAAGAATCTACAAATAAAGACAAATAAAAAAACAAACTTGAACATGAATAAAAATAACACCATTTTGCTTTTCTGAATTGAAGTTAGAGTGAGAGAGATGTAGTCAGAGCAATTTTTAACAATTTTAAAGAATATTAGTTTAAATGAACTTACTTTGCCACTCAAAATGACTGTTTTACTGACTATTCTTTTATTCTATTTGTAGTATTTCAAAGCATTACGTTTTCATAAAACCACTGTCTCCTTTTTGGACTGTTAGTCATAATTATAAACGATCAAATAATGTACAATTTTAATCTAGGTGTGGTACTTTAAAATGACTTTGATGGTGGATGACAAGCAGTGAGTTTACATACCATTTTTACATAGAATTAAAAACAATGCGGGTCTTAGAAACATCATTTTATTGTTTTTAGCTATTAATATATACAATACATAGATAAACATGGCTTTTTTGCTGCCCTTCTTGATAGAATGTTACCGGTTTAAAAAGATGTATATATATTGCACTTAAAAATTTAATCCTTTAATGAAAACATTTTACCACCAAGTATACATGTCCATAGAAGTATATTTTTCATACTTTAATAAATACAATATAATTAACTCATAACATTTGCTTTTCTTACAGGCCCTGTTTGAAATAATATTGGCTGGTTTATTGATTATACAGTAAAAACAGGTAATAGCAAAATTCTATTCACATGATTAGAATATGATTACTTATGTATGCTGCCAAGCTTTAATGCTGCAGTATATGTGTGGAAAATACACCTCTTTAAATTGCACAGAAGACGCCATTATATTGATTTAAAAACATGGCGCAAGTACTTTCATGTGCTGCAATTTAGTCTGCCTTATTCAACAAGGCAAAGAGCAACACACATTAACCCAGAGCTACCAATGAGTACACTTTTGCTGATTAGATTTTATTATGGTTGACTATATTTTGCACCCCTACTGCTCTTTGCAATCCCACAAATAAACGTATTAATATACAATTTGTCATTTGTTCTAATGAAACATATTACTATCTGATTACAACAGTTAAGAGCACATCGGTGTACTTTGCAGTAAATTGTTTAATAGACTTTTATATTTTTGTGATTTGTAAATATATCTAATACTATATTCCTAGGAAAAGTAGAGATGACTGAAAACTCTTGGCTAAGTTCAAGGAGCTATGAATTTCAGCTTTTCATGATAGGAAATCACCATAGAAAATGATGCAATTATTAACTTAAATTGTATTTCTTTTTCTGAGAAAAACTACCCTTGATAATATCAATTTTGAAAAATAATTTATAAAAGGGTTGAAAAAGTACCCAAAGAAATCAAGAAATGTAAATTTCTGAATGGGTGTAGCAGAAACCCATATAAATTGTGGCTAACTGCACTATTCTGCAATAGCGGCAATATTTCTAAACACCTAGTGATGAGAAGCATGGGGATGGCTTTCCGACTAATCAGGAAGCCAGGTGGCGAGTCATTACACGCCGCCTGGCTTCCTGAATGGGACTTCCGGTATTCGGTATCAGTGAGTACTGAAACAAAAATATCGGTACTCGATACTGAAATAACGGTATTGGTGCATCCCTAATTAAAACCATTAAAGAACTCCAGGGAAAATGTTTTCCTAACCCTTGCAGTAGGGCTACCCCTGCACTGGGGCACACTGCAAGGGTTAAATGCTCATTTTGTTCTAGGTGCAAAAATAAAACCGTTATACTCACCTGATTCTTGGAGCCGAGTGGCTCTTAAGGCTGTCCTTCCAGCGTCACTCCCCCTCCGCTGCTGCGGTCTACGGTCCCCTAAATCATCACATTTCATACACAGTGTACAGAAAGTGAGGATGCCCAGGGACATACCATCACTGCAGCAGAGGAGGGGGCAGGTTGAAGGTAGCGCTGTCCAAGGCTCGGGTTAGTAAAACTGTTTTATTTTTGTACCTAGAACAAAACAAGCACTTAATTCTGCAGTTCAGGGGTAGTCCCACTGCAAGGGTTAATAAAAATGTCCCCTGGAATTCTTCTTTAACCTCTATATTTATTCTGTAGTTAAGGTGCAGGGGGCTCTCTTTCTAGAGAATGGCTTTAATTGCAGTCAGTGGTCTATAGGAACCTCATTACATGAGCTATATGAAGTACTTCTATTTTTTTTTTTTTTTAAATACAATACAATACAATGTTAATGTCCAGATATTAACATGGTGGTTTTGAACTGCAATTTTTAGTTGTATCAGAACTAACAAACTAAGTAGCAGAAATCAGTATAATACATATCTTGAACTCAGCCATGAAAAGCTCCAGTCAGCTGCCGGCTCTGTTCAGGTATTCTGACAGCAGCCGTCAGAGTACAATGAACACAGCGGAAGATTCCTCGATTCACGCTCGTAAGTGTTGATGGAGGAATCTGTGATATTTTCAGCCCGCAGGTTGAAAGAAGGAAATATTACAGTGTATAGCCAGCTTAGGTTTGATTAGCAGCTGGTAATGAAAAAAGAATCTGGGAATGCCTGTAGTAGATGTCGAAAGAACGAGACCCTGCAACCCTTCGGAACAGCATTGCAGGCCTTCACTGCCCAGATTTGTGACATATAAGCAGCTAGTACCATATCCTCAGTTCAACTCCTTGAATACAAAGCTTACAAAACTAGCTCGTGTAAATGGAGTGAACAGTTCTGTTTTCACTGCCTTAAAAAGCTGATTAATAGCATATAAAAATAATGCCTATAAGCTTGCATTTTGTTTTGTTAATATTATTTTTGGCACTCGTTATAATAGGATAATTATTTAGTAACAATGGGGCTGTCCCTGCCCACTAAACATTTTATATTCATCGCCCTTCCTCGTTTCTGCTCCAAAGACTGAAACGTTAAATTGTCCTGCTCACCAAATATTACCACCTAGAAAATGTTTAGAATTGTAAATAATTAAAGCATTTATTGATAGGAGTATTACTTTATAAACAACTTACTACATCTTTTCTGTGGAGTACTGTTCCCTAATGACACTACTTCCAGTCATTGCTTAATTGTTCCTCCAGAGAAAACTGCAGGTGAAAATGATCAGTAAATGCAGACGTATAGACAGATTAAGTTTTACACAAGTTAGTTACTTTCCTGTAAAATTAGAGCTTGCCCCATCGCCTCCACCATCCAAGCCTACCTATTGGTCTTTTAATGTGATGTCAAATTAGAGCTTGCCCCATCCTCTGCACCATCCAAGCCTACCTATTGGTCTTATAATGAGATGTAAAATTAGAGGTTGCCCCATCCCCTCCCACTATCCACGCCTACCTATTGGTCTTTTAATTTAATGTAAAATTAGAGCTTGCCCCATCTCCTCCCACCATCCAAGCCTACCTATTGGTCTTTTAATGTGATGTAAAATTAGAGCTTGCCCCATCCCCTCCAACATCTAAGCCTACCTATTGGTCTTTTAATGTGATGTAAAATTAGAGCTTGCCCGATCCCCTCCCACCACCCTAGCCTACCTATTGGTCTTTTAATATGATGTAAAATTAGAGCTTGCCCCATCTCCTCCCACCATCCAAGCCTAACCAATTGGTCTTTTATGTGATGGGCATCCTCACTTAAAATAGGGATGCTCAGAAGGTGGAAAAGGGAGGAGCTAACCCTGCAATAGTAAATATTCACTAATAATTTCAGTTGTCTATATGTCTGGATCCACCAATTGTTTTTTCTATGCAGTTTTCACTGAAAGCCACTTTGTTTTTGCATTATATTATTGTATAAATTGCACAAGTTATTTTAATTAAGCCTTTAAACCAGTGAAGAGGACTTCTACTTACATATATGTCTTTCCCTATGACAAATATGGAAATGAGATATATTGAAAGTTCTACTGTATTACTCTTTGAAAAAAGGCCTGATAATGATCACCCTACAATACAACAAAGACATATGAATTATATTAGGTGAATTCAGTGGTGGACTGAGATGGCAGTGGGTCCTGCTGCAGAGATTACAAATAATCACCCTCTTTTACATACTATATTAGTTACTTGGTAAAGGTGTCTATTGCATTCTGCCATATACCACGCTGCCAGTAATTCCGCACCTGAATACATTACGGTAGCAGGGACTGCAAATAAGGAGCTATACCCTCACAGCCTGTGATGATATAGGAAACTTACTTTACAGGAATCTATTGTTATATTCAGATGACAATGACAGCACATAACAAACATTGGTTTCTAAATCTCATCTTGTCATTATTATAGATATATATACACATATAATCAGAAATGTTATAGATATATTTTTGTAATTTACTCTTAAAACTTATACATTCATCCATTGTAGAGTTTTGCTTTCAGTTACACTTTAAGGCGGTTTGGTAATACATCCCTCTGGATATTTCAGATCTCATTTGAGAACGCTTCCATCTAGTCAGTGATCTCCTAACTATTCCTGTTTGATATAACAAGGATCCAAGATGAAACATGCTTGTTTATGTATACTCCATATACAGATCATGCTTATTTAAGTATTTGCTTTCTATAAATCTCTTAGTATAAGCAACAATTGGGTTAACGATGCAACCCTCATTCAGCAGGCATATGATAGACTCATTGGGATGCTGACCTATAGATAAAGTGCTTATTGATGAGAAAAACAGATGGTAGCATACGATAATACATTTTCAATTGTTAGTGGTTAGCTATTCTCAGAATACTTTGGAATCCCGAATTAATAAGTGCAAATTGTTAACAACAGGCTGCTTAGACAATGTATTCCCTTACTGCAATACAGGTTTTCAACATTTTGTTTGGCACATCCAACTATATTTTTTATTGGCATGTATAAACATAAAATAAAACTCAGCTTTTAAAATTAAAATACTTTTTTTTTTTTTTTAAAGACAATGGTTTTTTTTCCCTGTAGACTTACTTTTAGCTTAACATGTTTCAGTGTAACAATAACCTTGGATCACACAACATTACTAAATCTAAATATATTTTATTAAAATATGTTGAATGATGTACATACCTATGTGATGTGTTGAATTATTTGCTGCACAGTTTTCACTGTGTTATTGCCATCTTGTGGCTGGAAATAAATCTGCATTTAATAAATCCATGGCCCAAACATCAAATACAAACTAACAAACTAATATATATTTAATTGTGCATACATTTGATTCTTAGAGAGTGCTGTTGTCTTTAGCTGCCAGTGGTGGTTCTGCAATAGATGTTTTCAGCCACACTAGTGACTAGACCCCGAGGGAACAGAGGGTCTGAGCTGATTGCTAGCTACATGTGTTTTCCTGCTCACCAATACATTTCTCCAGTGTTAGGGAATCTAAGCCTACCTATTGGTCTTTTAATGTGATGTAAAATTAGAGCTTGCCCGATCCCCTCCCACCACCCTAGCCTACCTATTGGTCTTTTAATATGATGTAAAATTAGAGCTTGCCCCATCTCCTCCCACCATCCAAGCCTAACCAATTGGTCTTTTATGTGATGGGCATCCTCACTTAAAATAGGGATGCTCAGAAGGTGGAAAAGGGAGGAGCTAACCCTGCAATAGTAAATATTCACTAATAATTTCAGTTGTCTATATGTCTGGATCCACCAATTGTTTTTTCTATGCAGTTTTCACTGAAAGCCACTTTGTTTTTGCATTATATTATTGTATAAATTGCACAAGTTATTTTAATTAAGCCTTTAAACCAGTGAAGAGGACTTCTACTTACATATATGTCTTTCCCTATGACAAATATGGAAATGAGATATATTGAAAGTTCTACTGTATTACTCTTTGAAAAAAGGCCTGATAATGATCACCCTACAATACAACAAAGACATATGAATTATATTAGGTGAATTCAGTGGTGGACTGAGATGGCAGTGGGTCCTGCTGCAGAGATTACAAATAATCACCCTCTTTTACATACTATATTAGTTACTTGGTAAAGGTGTCTATTGCATTCTGCCATATACCACGCTGCCAGTAATTCCGCACCTGAATACATTACGGTAGCAGGGACTGCAAATAAGGAGCTATACCCTCACAGCCTGTGATGATATAGGAAACTTACTTTACAGGAATCTATTGTTATATTCAGATGACAATGACAGCACATAACAAACATTGGTTTCTAAATCTCATCTTGTCATTATTATAGATATATATACACATATAATCAGAAATGTTATAGATATATTTTTGTAATTTACTCTTAAAACTTATACATTCATCCATTGTAGAGTTTTGCTTTCAGTTACACTTTAAGGCGGTTTGGTAATACATCCCTCTGGATATTTCAGATCTCATTTGAGAACGCTTCCATCTAGTCAGTGATCTCCTAACTATTCCTGTTTGATATAACAAGGATCCAAGATGAAACATGCTTGTTTATGTATACTCCATATACAGATCATGCTTATTTAAGTATTTGCTTTCTATAAATCTCTTAGTATAAGCAACAATTGGGTTAACGATGCAACCCTCATTCAGCAGGCATATGATAGACTCATTGGGATGCTGACCTATAGATAAAGTGCTTATTGATGAGAAAAACAGATGGTAGCATACGATAATACATTTTCAATTGTTAGTGGTTAGCTATTCTCAGAATACTTTGGAATCCCGAATTAATAAGTGCAAATTGTTAACAACAGGCTGCTTAGACAATGTATTCCCTTACTGCAATACAGGTTTTCAACATTTTGTTTGGCACATCCAACTATATTTTTTATTGGCATGTATAAACATAAAATAAAACTCAGCTTTTAAAATTAAAATACTTTTTTTTTTTTTTTAAAGACAATGGTTTTTTTTCCCTGTAGACTTACTTTTAGCTTAACATGTTTCAGTGTAACAATAACCTTGGATCACACAACATTACTAAATCTAAATATATTTTATTAAAATATGTTGAATGATGTACATACCTATGTGATGTGTTGAATTATTTGCTGCACAGTTTTCACTGTGTTATTGCCATCTTGTGGCTGGAAATAAATCTGCATTTAATAAATCCATGGCCCAAACATCAAATACAAACTAACAAACTAATATATATTTAATTGTGCATACATTTGATTCTTAGAGAGTGCTGTTGTCTTTAGCTGCCAGTGGTGGTTCTGCAATAGATGTTTTCAGCCACACTAGTGACTAGACCCCGAGGGAACAGAGGGTCTGAGCTGATTGCTAGCTACATGTGTTTTCCTGCTCACCAATACATTTCTCCAGTGTTAGGGCCCTCCTTTTTTAGCAAAGTACTTCTCCAAAATGCAAAAGAGCAGGGTGGTACAAACATCCTTATGGTCAGATACCAGTACTGTTAAGGAAGCTTAGGGATACAGCATGTTCTGTAAAAGTTATTTTACAGTGAAGTAACCTTGTGTTCAAATTTAGATCTATCAATCATTAAACACTATAGCTATTCTGGTGTATGAATAAGGATACCCCAACATCGTCATGATATGGTAATCTAAGGCTGCTATAGTATCGTTTTGTATTATGTACCAAATTAGATGTACTTTATTATATGTCAGTCGATGAAAAGATACAATTATTACAAAGCAATATCATATTTAATAAACATAAAAACATATTTTACCTGAATATTTAAAATGCAAATAGCAATGGAAGTACTTGGTTATATAATGCTATGTTACTGTATTGTACTTACAGGTATTTACAGTAGTCCATATATAGCAACAATCAAGGTGGTGTGTTTTTTTTTATGAATCATGCAGTGCCAAAAATGAGGGGCATTCGCAGATGTTCCTAATAGTGCATGGCAGATATATGTGGCACAAGAAAGCTATTTACCTTACAGATTTGGTAAGGTGCACCTAAATATGTACATATGCTACAAAGATGCACTTAGTCCATGAAAGCTACATCCAAGTTAATTTAGCGCGGCTTGCAGGATTTGTGTGTAAAAGTATCATACGTGCCATACCATATGTGACTAACCACATCCAATTTGATAATATGAAAAGCATTTCAAACAAAGGTGTCATTTGCCATCCCCAACATTTTCCAGTAGAGTCACTGGAGAAATCTGAGGGCAGTTTTTTCCCCCCCCTTATTTTGTAGTGAGGGATGCAGTTCTTAGTGTCATGAGACAAATACAAAGGGAAGAGAACTACAGGAAAATCCCTGGTAAGTAAAAGCACACTCAAAGAAACACTTTCACTTTGCCTATTTAGGACAAAGTGACAGCACTTTAGCAAAGGGGCTCACTCACTGATGCTTACCTTGCCAGGCACTCCCCTGCGCTCCTTCCTCCATCACAACCATACCCAGGAGCTAGGGCGTGCAGTGACATTACTCATGTCATGTAGCAGTGCTTGGACCAAGCGAGTAGCTGCAAGACTTGAGCACTGTCACATGTGAGGAGGTCATGATCTCCCATGCCTGGAATAACTGGGTATTTTTGTTTGTGGTGACAGAAGAAGGAGTTACATGGTATCACTGGCAAGGTGACTATCAGTTGGTCTGGGTGACCCTTTGTAATGGCACTGTCTCCGTGCCCTAAATGGGCAAGGTGACAGTGTCACTTTAATACTTTTCTAGGATCGGACCAGGCAAAAGTAATACTTTAATTAAAGGTGAGGTCTGGTGGGCTGAATAGCTCTGGGCTTCTTTTATGTCTTGTATACGCCAACTGCAAAATCACCCTGCCAGAATTTCTGATTCTGTTCCTGCCCACCTGGGAATTTTGGGTGCATCTCCCAGCTTTGTGTGATCCAGTATTACCCACTGTATTTCTCATCATTTATAATAGCCAACAGATTCAACGAGGAGAGTGGAAACCCCTTATAATGGCTACAGGAGGTATACAGACCTCAAGTGTGAAGATCTTATCAATAAAGTCCCCATGAGATATAGGAAACTGCAAGGAGGTTTAACTCTTCAATATATACCAAAAACTTTGGTTTTAATAGGCCGACCCTTACATTTATGAGAGCTCATCCAACACACAATTTTACATGTGTTGAATAATGAAAGGTAATATATACATTAAGGTGTTTGATGGTGTAATGCCAAGCTCCCATCTTATAGCCCATCAATAAAGGTTTTTTTTCCCTTTGTATTTTAGAGATGTAATTCTGCATTTCAACAATGACCAAATGATTTCAAAGGGCTGATAAAAAGCTCATAAATGACTGTAATATTACCATTTTGCTTGCAACATTCTATGATTGTTATTATGTCATTTTTCTAGTGTCTGTACCTGAATATCATTGCATGAATTGCAAATTCTCTGTATGTGCACCTTAACAAACCTGCACAAGAGCACTTAAACCAATATTACACATGAACAAAGCAAATGAGTACATTCACATTTTTCATGAAATCAGCTTCAGTTCTGGGGACAGAAATATTTTAAATATCACTAATAATTACAGTATAAATATATTTCTTACAATGTATATATATATATACCAAATTAAATAAAACACCAAGCAAAATCTTTTAAGCTGTACCAATGCTAACAGAGAAGCAACTTTACATTCAATTGCTTTGTGATTTACTTACTTATTTTTTGTTTTGATATACTAAAAACAGTTTCATACAACACTATAAATTCAATTTGAGTGGAGCATGGTGTCATTTAAAAATAAATGCACCAGTTTATTCAGTTTTGGGCTGAATATGGTGGTTAGTCTCTGCCTGCTGGATTCTCTAATGGAATAAAAGGGCAATTCTCATCTCTGTACAATACCACCACATTTTTGCCTAATCTGAATTCTGGCATTAAAGAGGATCATATTTTAGATTTGGGTGAGCAAATCAAAGTCAGTTTTCAAGTAACACTGTTGAAATTAAATTGAATGAAGGGGAGCCCTTGAATGTGGGGAAGAGATGAATTTGTACAGTCAGATTAAGAAGCTTCTAAAAGAGACCATCCAAAAGATAAAAGATAACTAATAAAAGATGAGGGTGGAAGGCGGATGGCAATGAGACTTTCCATAAAGGAACAGTGTATAAAGGCATTTGGCTGCACTTATTAGAATACACACAGCATTACTACTACCTGTAGGTTACAAACAAGCAAGTAAATTGGGAATACCTCTTCATATCTGTACAGTGAGGATATATTCTAACCATTGGAAGGACTGAATGACACTGCTATTAGGTTTGGGGCTGATATGCATTAAAAAGGAAAATAAATACAGCTGGTTTATATATGTTTTTAAATTAAATTAAGATGGCATAAAAACATGTCTTTCAGATTTTCTGTGAGCTCTTAATTGCTGGCCAGATGTTTTTTTTTGTTTACGATAATCAGAATATAGATGACAAGTGCATGATGCCTGGAAGGAAATAAGATACTAGCAATAGTGCATATTCCTGAAGCAGGAGCAGTCTGTACCTGTGGCAAATTAGCCCTTTATGTGGGGGCCTGGTCAGGTGACAGGTTTGTATGTTTTTGTATTTTTGTAATGAAGACCTTAGTGGACAACCTCCATTCTAATCTGGTGAATTCAAGTTTGCAGATAGTTGTAGAAAACTGTCCCATCAAAAGAGGGATGCTGTGAGTCAGCTGCTAAGAAAATAATCTGAAATGGTGGGAAAAAGTATTTATCCTTTTAGGGCATGTTTTTGGTAATTCTTTATGTAAAGTAATCATGCAAACCCGTCATCAGACCCTGCCCTCAATAAGCTACAGAAAAAATGGAAGAGCTCTGACAAACAGAATGGAACATACACCTAACAGGAAATTAAAATAAAAATAAATCTGAGGTTTCATTGTTCCTATATATGTTTTGCATACATTTAAATGGACACATGAAAAAAATAAACTGCTACATTCCCCTTGTTTTATGATTGCATGTCCCTTGCAGTCATTTGCTGAAACAATCAAGTTGTTATAGAATCCTCATAAAGAAAAGAAAAAAATATATTTATGAAAAATAAATTACAGGTGTAGATCACATTTCACCATTACAGTACCTTAAATTAACCATTAAAACGGAAATATATTTACCACTGATATTTATGATTCTTAAATTGCTTACTACATCACAACTGGCATTTTAAACAGCAAACATTAATATAAGTTTTTCAAGGATGCCCTGTCAACATAATAGAAGTTTTGTGTGTTTCTTTAGTAAACACGCAAAGTTATACAGCAAATGATAAAATAATTTACTTTAAAAAAAAAAGGACAAAAAATGTAAACATAAATATAGGGTCCGTGGAAGGACGTTCTAGAATCCCTTTCATATACTGGGCCATAAAAGATCTTTTTTAAATTTATTTTTTTAAGGCATTCACTTTCTTTCAATCTGTATCCATCTCGAGTCTTCGTGCATTGAGAATACAAAATTGGATGGAGAGAGGAAATGGTCCACCCAGCAGAGGGCTCCGTACCAATTTTGGGAGCTGGACTTGATGTTGGGTCCTCAATTAATTTTTCAAGAACCAAATGCTTTGAAATGATACTGGTTGGTAATCTATACAAGAACACATGTGGTCGCATAATGCAACACAGCAGTGCTTACTGAAGCAGCATCAGAACCTATCTAAGTTAAACTGAAATGTCACAAAACAATGCATCCTTACCCCTGCACGTCTAATGTGTAGCACCTTCTACTTGTAATAGCTAATGCCTCTAGTGAGTGGTGAGATGTACCCATTTAGTTATTCTTGTTCCTAATTATCACATCATTTATAAAAATAGAAATATCCAAGAATTGACGCTGGGTTCCATCTTGAGAGGTTTTTCTCGTTGTCCTCTGAGAACATGTTGGAGAATCAGGTCTCAACAAGCCCTATGCATGTAGCTGATTTGAAGTCAGACGTGGTTTGCAAAACAACTTATTTTTTGCAATGGGTTTAGCAAACTCTGAGGAAAAAGAAAAGAAAAAGCTTTCCACTGTGTGTATGGCACAAAGAGCACAATGACAAGGGCATATTCAGTAGCAATTGATTCAGATGGCCGGTAATGTGTGCTACAAACTGTACAAGCATGTTGATTTAAAAAAAGATCTAAGCGTTTTTTTGTTCTTAAAGCCTAGTTTGGGCTTCAGGTATATATATTTCAATGCTGTCTGCACGTTCGCTGGCTGAATTTTGCCGGAAAGAGGCTGCTCTTTTTGCAGCCATTAGCCGCCTTCTGGCTTCTTGTCTTTGTCTGTCAGGTAGGTCCAGCGACTTTTCTCGAGTGATGGGGAATTTTCCCCTGGAAGGTTTCTTTGGTATTGGAGGTGGGGGTTTCTTATCATCCTGAAAATGCAAATAAAATATATATTTATAGTTGTAAAACGTAATATGAATATTTTCTATTAGCTTATGCATATTGATGCTATATACATAATGTAATTATATACATAGTGGAAAAAATACTTTATTAATAAGAATGATTACAAGTAGTGCTTTCGTGAACACGACAAATGCAGAACTGCAGTAGCTTGATTAACTGTTTCCATAGCAACAGTAACAGACAAGCTATACCATATCAATAAGTTATCCACTGGATATGTACATTTGCAATTACAGCTAATGTACAAGGCAGGCATTTTTTGCTGTTGGAAAGGACAGGTAAAATCCAGTGTAAAATGGGTACAGGAGATTGTTCCTGTACCCCTGTAACTGCCTGTAAGCTGTACACCTGCTGATCTCAGGAGATCAGCACTGTTATGAAAAGCAATTCTGTTAACCCTACACACTGCTTATGAGTGACACAACAGTATGTACTGCCCTCAGATCAACAGCAAAGACAATATTAGCTGGCTGTGGTCAGCTGGGAATGCAAATTTTTAAAGAGAAAAAGTAGTACTTTCAGTGGGGTTTATTAATTTGTAACCTCCAAATGCAGATTAGCAGCGGCTGAAATCTCTAAAAATGGTTCCATGTAGCATCCTTTAGCTTTAATGTGTGACTCATGCCATTCCTCTTGCTATATCCTCTAACAGTTCCTGTGCATCGAGGCTGTTGTAAGCTCTTTTTGTTCCCTCGTTCGTGTCACAGTTCTCTAGCAATCCCCAGATAACAACTTCAGAACCTCAGCCAATAGAAAAAAAAATGATCAGTTCCAGAAAACCAGGAAAGGAGGGAAGATATCCAGACCAGAAAGCTATGACAAGAGATAGGGATCACAAAAAGCTAACCTTGACCTGTATGACCAGGTACAATTAGAGGAGACATCCAGAGAAATGGCACAAGCCATTTGTGGTTCACCTTTTTTGGGGGCTTAGAGCCTGACTGATGCCACCAATCTTGACAAGAAGGTTTGAATACATAGCAATAAAAGTGTGGCTTTTTTTAATTGAAGAAGTTATGTCTACAAAAAGAAAGAAGATATATAATAACTATTAATCAATGTTCACATGCTAATTGTATCCATCAGCTGAGGATCCATGAGCTGCAAGGAAAATAGTGTTAAGGATAGATCAGCGTAGTTGGCCATGTTTTAGGGAAAATATGTAATTTGGGTTTAAAGTAGCAGGTCACTGTAAACACGATGGGGGGTTACTAAACATGGAGCAGACAAAATCTAAAGCAGCTTTGTATTGTAACCAATCAGCTTCTTTTATTAGCTTTAGTTGCTGGTTGGTTGCCATGCACAATTGCAGTAGATTTTGTCTGCTCCAGTCTTAGTAAATTCCACTTGATGTGACATCACAGCACTTCCTCTTGATACGAAAACTCAGACAGCTCTCTTTAGTGAGTACATCACTGCTGGATGTAGATACTGTAAATGTGACTGTATTTAGGAGAGTCAATTGGCTTCCAATCATTGGCTTTTAGCTGGTGCAACTTGTCAAACTTCATGCTTACGTCTTCAATGGATAACTGCAACAAATCCCAAAATCCTGCTAAGTCTTGTGATGTTGGCCTGGGCATAGCACTTGGATCCTTATTTTAATAAGAAAGAAGAACAGAATGTCAGTACTGGCTTTTATGTTTGTCTCCACCTGGACATCCAGGGGACAGGTTAAAAATTGTTCTGAGACATCATACCACAGAAATAATAGTATTGCTGACAATGGAGAGCACAGAGCGAAGAGATACTGTAGCACAAAAACAATGACAAGACAGCAGCCACTTAGCTTACAGCTGAGTTAGTGTACAAAGCTTGGCAGATAGTAGAATGTGTATTACTTAATGCAGCATCTGCTCACAGCACCCTATGATTAGTAGCAATATCATACTATCTAAAGGGTAGGTGATTTCCCTGTGTGTTATAAAGAGAGATTGTAGCTTTAGCGTTCCCTCTCTTCTGGAGGATGTTTGCACCATGAAGGAACATAGCATGAAAGCACGAGTGCCTCCCCTCAGATCTGGCCCCCTCCAGACCTGACAGGTCCCCAGCACACACAGATCTGACCCCCTCCAAAGCTGAAAAGTCCCCAGCACACACAGATCTAACCCCTCCCCCCCCCAGATCTGACAGGTCCCTGGCATGCACAGATCTGACCCCTCCAGAGCCAACAGGTCCCTAGTACACAGATCTGACAGGTCCCCGATACACACAGATCTGACCCCTCCAGAGCCAACAGGTCCCTAGTACACAGATCTGACAGGTCCCCGATACACACAGATCTGACCCCTCCAGAGCCAACAGGTCCCTAGTACACAGATCTGACAGGTCCCTGATACACACAGATCTGACCCCCTCCAGGGCCAATAGGTCCCCAGCACACAGATTTGACAGGTCACCAACATACACAGATTTTCCCCCCTTACAGATCTGACAGGTACTTAGCACATACATTATAAAGGCAATGTACTGCATACTCAATAATGTCTTGTAAATATATAAAAACTGTAAACTAAAATCGTTCATCTAAGGCTGTAGGTAAAAGTTTGTTACTTTAATTTTAAATCCATGTTGTGAAAAGAAAATAGTCTGGTTTAGACTGCACTAGTAAAAGTAGCTGGTTGAGAAGACATCACATAAGATTAAACTATCATGGAGTTCACTAATGCACATGAGATTTATCTGGACATTAATAGCAGTGAAAGGAGAGGGTTTCCACCATTTCAAAATGGTATTGTATTTGGCAGGACAGTTACAAAGTTCATAAATACGTTTTCTGTAGGGTAAGCATTGATTGTGTAGCCCCTACATATAAGTTGCTATGGAAAAAAAGTAGTATTCGGCTTGTAATAGTTAAGTGACCTTGTGCAGCCTGTGATGCAGAGACTTATGGGAGTTGCAGTGTCTGGGACAACCCGTGCTGTGTGAGCGTGTTGAGTCTACAATTCTCAGGAGGCTGTGCTTTCAGAGGAGGGGTGATTCTGGGCTGGAGTTACTGAGTGTGCTCAGTCTGGACGAACCCAGCGAAGGACACAGATCTATGTGGCTGCCGCTGATGCAGAGGAGCCATATATCCTGTGTTAGCCTGTCTTGGGGAGTGTAAGCGGACCGGGCCTGTGCAGTGAGAGATCCATAAAGACCCAGCAATCCGCGGGGGGCCTAGAGGCATTTACAGAAAATGTTCTGCAGCATCTTCCTGTGACCGGAGATCATCTTCAAGGTACAGCGGATGACTTCAGGACCAACAAGGGTGTCGGCTTGAGAGAAAGGGGAAGCCCGTCTCTCGCTGACAGACATCACAGCTGCGAGACTGATCCTGGAGGTGGTGAGAGGTATTTTTGGCCATTTGTATTATTTCTGCAATTTACTTCAGCAACACAGCATGGGCCCCAACGATGGCTAGCCTAGACTATTGCTACTAGCCAGTAGTATAGAGTTTTGGAGATTAATTGGGACTGGGACATTAGCAATCAAGTGTTTAAAGTCAGAGATAGCATCTGAGATAGTTCAGTACTGCATATCTCAATATGTAGATGGCCTGCTGCTTAGTGTCTAAATACCCAATATATAATATATATATAGCAGGCAGATGGGGATGTCTGGGTATAGCAAGGGTGGCAGATTTGTAGGGCCCAGTTATAGGTGTAGTGCTGAGGTTCTTACTCTAGGGGGAAGTGTTGAGAGTGTTAGTGGCCTAGAGGTAACCAGCCCAGCTGATGGAACCTGGCTCATTAGGGCCTCCATAAGATAAGATATCCCAGGCTGCTAAGTGAGTGGGTCCACCTGGGTGACAGAGGATGTCTCAGCAGGAGTCAGGAGGGCCAGTGGCAGAAATACCGCCGGTGCAGGCGGTGCGGGTGCCCGGGGCCTCAGGCTCTGGGGGGGCCCAGCAAGTTGCCGGCCGCCGGATCGTTATCCAGCGCGCGGCGGGCCCCTGGTCTCTCCGCCGGGAGTGTCGGATCATCAAAAGTGACAGCCGGCCAAGCGCTGTGGAAGGAGAGCCCTGTGTTTGTGGGTTTTTTTTGGGGGGGAGGGGGGGCCCAAAAAAAAAATCTTGCACCAGGGCCCTTTGTTCCTTAGCTCCGCCACTGAGGAGGGCTCCATCCTGGAACCAGTCTGTGAGTCTGGCAGACTGGGGAGCAGTTCACCTGTATAGTGAAAAGCAGCCTGTGTGGCAATCCGCCTGTGTGGCAAAAGCCAAGCCTATGTGGCCAAGTCTTTGAATACATCCTGTGTATCCAGACGTTTTGAGGTAACGGAACCACCTGAAGTCGGTGAGACTGAAACATGCTTGTTTGATAAGAAAATGGTACTTTATGTTTGAAAACCCTGCAAGGGAACCCCTGTGTGGACTTTTCTTTTGAGTTGTGCGTTAACAGATGTGGGAAAAGAAGACCTTAAGAAGTGAAAAGTGAGTGGCGGTGTCGTTAATGTGCTGCCGTTTGGAGCTAATCCTCACAATATATATATATATATAGATAATCAGTTGCTTTGTAAAGCTGTTTACAAAACTCTCTCGGGTCTGTTGGTGTGCTGTGGATCCTGATTGGGCAGTACATTTTGGCTTGGGGACAGAAATACCCGGGTTATTCTGGCGGTTCCTTCGGGGGTGAGCGCTACAATTTTACTATTCCACTGTTGCAGTAGTGGAGTGGATGAATCAATCAATCCAGTGTTTGTTTAATCAACAGCTTGGGAGCCATAAATAGGGTTTCAGTCAAGAATATGTATACATCTTTTGTATGGCAAGTTTTTTGTTTAGATCTCAGTCAATGTCTTTGTGTGCTTCAAACATTCACTGGTGGTAAATAACTGTCATTTAAAACTCATGCATCTGAGAAACCTGCAGTGTGCAGTTTAGGTTTTTTGGAGGAACACTTCCCTGACCAACATGTCAAAACTGCTATACTTAGATCTATGTTCCAAGCTCGCAAGTTCCTTTTGATCCACTGAAAGGATTCTGAACCTCCTATTCTAAAGGTGCCCATACACCTTACGATTATCGTACGATAATTGTATGCAATCGACTTTTCGTACGACAATCGTAATGTCTAAATAGATTGCCCGAACGATAGTACTGTACAATCGTACGACTTTTGACGGTCAAGCATGTTTGAAAACTTTGGTCGATCGTACGATGTTCGCATGATTGGTGGCGATTAACACTGCGCATGCACAAACTAAAATAATTACAGTCAATTACCGCAAGTCGTCTGGGTGTTTTTTTTTAAACTACCGCTGATTGAACCTTGAGATAATCGGGGCAGGATGGGGCCGTCGTACGAAAATCGTACGACGGTTCGATCATCGGACGAAAAGTTTTGTCCGTTAATCGTAAGGTGTATGGGCACCTTTACTCAGTGGACAGACCACTTGAATATGCTTTACCGTGTATTTCCACTTTCAGAGCCAGATTGGGATAACACCTATTTTATATTTCTTACGTTTCCATTCACATAGCATAAGCTAAAAAAAAAATGCTTCTTGCTTCTTGCATTTTAAATTGCTTTTACTTGTCTTTGGGCTTTTATTGGCTTCTTAAGAGTTAACATTTGTATTTGTTTCTTCTTCTTCTTTGTATTGTTAGGATAAGCTCTAAGGGGTTAAAGGATGAAAAGCCTGGCTTCTCCAATGTTTGTTAATTAAGTTAATTAGAGGAACACAATCCACAAATTTCAGTCCTAAAGGTGCCCATACACTTTACAACCCTCGCAAGACTTTTGACTTGCGAGGGTTGTAAAGTATTTCCCGGCGGGTTTTCTAGCCTGTTCGACGGAAGACGTGCGACCATACAGTAGAAACGGTCGCACGCCTTCCATACACTGCACGATTCTCGTACGAGCGCGGGATTTCCAGCGATTCTCGTACGAGAATCGTGCAGTGTATGGGCACCTTTAGTCTTTCTATAAGGACAAATCGCTGTGCAGGTGCTCAGAAAAACCTGGAATCAGACATGTTGTCTGCTGCAACAAAACATCTAAAAGGTAAGGTATGTTGTGTGAATGGGAACGCATAAACGTATAGAGGGGTTTTCTCAAGATTGACTGCAAAAGTGAAAATACACGTTGAAGCTGGTGGATAATGTATATGTACATCAAGGTTCCGCTTCAAAATTTGAAAACCCTTGATCTTGAAAGAATTTCTTCTGCCATAGAAAGGCTGTTATATGTCGTATGCTTATTGAAAGCTCGTACAATCTGCCCACCTTGGACGGGCAGATCGTACTTGCGATCATCGAAAGCCCACCCCGCTGAGGGGCGTGCTTCCGATGACCGCAATGCAGAATGGGCAGTGTGCGCGTGCGCACACCGGCCCGTTCCACAGCTATCGAACGAGCAGGCTAGATTCTCGGCGGGTTTTCGAGCATGCTGGTTCGACAAAAGACGTGCGACCGTACAGTAGAAACAGTTGCACGCCTTCCATACACTGTACGATTCTCGTACGATCGCGGGATTTCCCGCGATTCTCGTACGAGAATCGTACAGTGTATGGGCACCTTAAGGGTTTATGTCAGCTATTAAAATACCTTGGACCAGACGTATGGAGAATGGCCCCACCTGTGGGCAGTTAGCATAACCAAAGACCCATGTTGCAAATCCAGAAGCAAAAGTTTGGAGCCATTAGATGCTTCTTCACTCCCTTCAGGTATTTTAACTTTGCACATTCCTGCAGTATGGATTTGTTCGACTGTATGGAAAAATATGGATACATATATATCTATGGCATACAGCTAGCATTAGCCCTACCCCCTTTCCTCTTTATATACTCTGACGGTTAATTAGGTATTTATTATTTAGTATATTTCTTAATGCTTCGTCATTTCATTTATTCTTCATTGTAGTGGGAAACCATTTAATTTGTTCTGTATCTTTGTAAACACCAGTGTATGTTGTGATCTGTATTTTACTATGGCTATAATGCACAACATTGTTGAGTGTTTAGTTGGGGTTTTTTTCATGTTTGATTTAAAAAAAAAAAAACACCTGGTGAATGTCAGACTCACTGCTTTAGAAATATGCTCCTTAATATTAAGTCAGTAGGTCCAAGCGGGTTTTATTTATCTTTAACCTTGCGGTCCTAAGTATATTGACAGAAATGTCCCTAAAGGTTTAGTGATCTTTACGTGCTAAATTGAATTGTTGTGCTGTAGTCCACAGAATACAGGTGCCTTGAAAAATGCCAACATTCATGAGACCTTTTTAATAGGTTTTTTTAAAAGCATGCAATTATGCTATAGTTCCACTAGATGGCAGTGCCTCCCTCTGCTATTATTACTTTAACTGATTCTTCGCTATACTACACACAAATATATATGGCACAAACTAAACGTATTAAAGGCAAGGTACACCTTTTGCAAAAATTCAATAAATGCACACACATTAATAAAAGAAAATTGGTACATATATTGATTTTTTTGCATTGGAGTCTGCAAAGCATCAGTGGATCGCAGGTGCAGCTCTCAGGCTCCTGGAGACTGTTCCTCTCAGTCCCTGTCCGTACCGAGGTATGGACTTTCAGTTTCAGGGACAGGAGGAAGTTTGAATGGACTACAAGTGCAGTGACATCACCACACTTGTAGTCCATTAAGAACTACAAGTCCCCCTGTTACGACAGAAGGGACTTGTATGCTCTCTATTCACAGTTGTGCCAATCTGAAATGTACACAGAATCCTGCAGGGAGAAGAACCCCATGTTTCTGGAGATCTGGAGAGGAAGGGGTTTAGGGCTAGGAGGCTTGTTTATGTGACCATGTTTCATGTTAAACTCCGAATATCAAGAGATGGAGTTATTTTTTCATTTAATCTCTTGACTAAGAAAGTTAGCAATACAAAGTATTTAAACATATACTGAATATATACTGCTTTTCTAAATAAATATTGAACTAGGAAGCAGGACTACATGAAAATGTTAATCTGCCACTCCCTCAGCTTTGTAATGTCATGATATGTGTAACAATATTGGTTATATTATGTTTGGATTACAACATGGATCTACTTATTCCATATTAGTGAGTACAACTTGGTATGTCACAGTTCCAAACTGATAAAAAGCCCAGACTTTCTGGACTACTAATTAGCTAATGTGTGATATCAGTAACTTTTCTCCTTGCAATGATATATTGTTGAAGGGTAGTTTGTGTAAAGGGTCTCATTATTAGTAGTAGCTAGTTACATTCAACTGGACTTGCATGTAACATACATCTTTCACAGCTCTGATCAGGAATATATCCCAGCATATATAGCCACACGCGTTACCCTAACCGAATCACTATGGAATGTATCAGGTGTTGATTGTTCACGAACAGGACTGGCAGAGTGAAAGTTTCTGAAACGTTTTGCATCTGCATTATCCAACTTACAGAATGCCACAGTCTGGAGGCAGGTATTAGTTGTTCAAGTTATATGACTGAAGGTGTGAATTGTTGTCAAATCACCAGGGTAGAGATGTAAAGATGGCCCTTAAATGTGAGTGACAAATTATGTTGAAGGCCTCGCCCCTGTTTAGGGCTAGGTGTCCCAGTTTGACATAGAAGGCCTCCTTTGCACCTTTTTCGAAATGGAGGATGTGACTCAAAAGTATATCCCTTTTCCACCTTAGGACATTATTTTGAGGTCAGTGAGATGGCAATTTGACAATACACACCTTTAGCCATGTATGTTGGGCAATTAACAGGTGCCCCAGACTTTGTGGCACCATGGTGATTAGAGTATGTAGTTAGCACAGAATGGTTTTACATCATTGATCTTGCCTGTCCTAAGTGCAAATACTGCCAAACCCTCTGGATACTGGGTGGCATAGTCCACTACTGCCAAGATATATTTTCTTGAGCTGCTGGGGATGGCTAATGGCCCAATGATACGCCAACCTCTTAAAAAGTTCAATTACAGGACAAGATTGTAATGGAACCCTAAGAATAGCTTCCTGAAGCTAAGGATGGCCGATGTTGAATACAGTTAGTCTCAGGCTAAGGACCAGCGGTTCAATTCATTGGTAAATTAGCTTCAGTCCTTCTACGTTCATCTGGCTGGGCTGTACCAGAACCACTTGTACCTGAGACAGATGGAGCCCCTTCTGCTGCAGGCTCCCCCAGGGTCTGCAGTGCCTGAATATCTGCCTTATTTTAAACACAAATCAGCTTCTCCTTCAATCTGCTTTGTTTGGCACCCATTCATCAGAATGCATTTACTCATTCTGTTGTACTTTACTAGAACAAGCAAGATTGAAAAATAAAAGATAGGGATGGAGGGAATTGGTGCTTTATGTTTATATATACTGTATTTTGTGCTCCATAAGGCGCACCGGTACATAAGACGCAGGCAATTTCTGTCACAGTTTATGTGACAGAAGCTTCAGTAAGTGACTGCTGAGGCGGGTGGCACTGTGATTACAGCGCCACGGTCTCAGATCACAAAGAGCAGACGAAGAACGGAAGTTCTTCGTCTGCTCTAGGGGCTCTATGGTGAGCTCCTGTCCCGTGGTCACGGGTCCCCCAGAGGAGCCGAAAACCACGGCGGGGGACAGGGGGGCGCCGCCGCCGCCGCCACTGCTGCTGCTCGGTTTGAATACATGTGATCTGAATAGATCACTTGTATTAAACAAGCAGCGGCTTCCACTGTATGTTTAGCTCTGCTTTTTAAAATAAACAGTTTTTCTAGTTTTTCAAATGTTAGCCTACAGCAAGTTACCTAAAATAAAATTATTTCAGTGTAGTTTTACTCTATTAAGTGCTGTGCTTAATGGACACTTCATATGCAGAGATGTTTAAATAATTTCTATAAGATGCAATGCCAGGTCACCTGTGTTATAGGGTCATGCTAAAGAGTTATCACAGGTGTGAGAAAAGTTGATGCAAAATTAGAAACAAAATCAAGTTATTTCTATTTATAATTTTCTGAATTTGCTTACCAGATTTTGCTGACAAAGCCAATAAAATTGCTGAAACTTCTGTGACATGAGCAGCTGTGCGCTTCCCACTGCACTCCGGATTTTACCTAAATCTAAACAGAAAAGCAAAATATTAGTTGATCCTGAAAAAATAAGACAAAAACAGCAATGATTTATATGAACAAGAGACCTCATTATGTTGGGTCTGATAGTGTCTAATTCCTAACAATCAGAATGATAATTTGATGGGTGGCCATGAGAAAGCTCTTTGCCTATCTTTTGATCAGGACTGATACTGCCTGAATCATACACAACTCTTTCCCTGCCTACATCTTGCACGATGGGGGATAGCAGAGATTTAGTTAATGGAGCATCAAACTCAATTCACTCAGGGACCACCGGACAAATGTTTTTCTCCCATGGGGGCCGCTTGCCAAATTTCACACACACACACACACACACACACACACACACAGATACGCACACATAGAAATGCACACAAACAGAAATATGCACAGCCCCCTACAACCAGAATCACAAACACTTATATACACACAATAAGGCCCCATTCACACCAGTAAGTTTAGGCGCAATTAGGAATTCCTGTGTCAGAAACTTGCATTTGCCTGCAGTAGGAATCCCTAATCTGGTGTATACATGTGGCTGCTGCCACCCATTCAAGTTAATGATCAGGTGACAGCCGCTGCATGTGAACACCGCATGCAATGGTATGTGGCACGAGTAAACGTGGCTGGGAATCAATCATTATCCCTGGATGCACAATCAATGCTTCCACAGAGAATGATTCCTAACCGCATGTAATTATATTACAAACTAGGGATGCACAGTTACCATTTTTTCGGTATCAAGTAAAGTACCAATATTTTTTTTCAGTACTCGCCAGTACCGAATACCGATACCAGAAGCCGGGAGGTGAGTAATGACTCGACACCTGGCTTCCTGATTGGTCAGGAAGCTGGCTCCATGATGACAAGGGAGCATGGAGCCAGCTTTCTGGTCAATCAGGAGGCCAGGGGCAAGTCATTACCGGAAGCATTTGGGCGAGTGCAAGTATTTGCCCCAAATACTCGGTATCGGTACATAACGATACTAGTATCGGTACATCCCTTCACATATCATTACATGCGGCGATTTACATGCAGCAGTTGTCACCTGATCATTAACTTGAACGGGTGACAGCTGCAGCATGTAAACGCCACATTAGGGATTCCTGCTGCAGGAAAACGCAAGTTCCCGACATAGGAATACCTTATTGCACCTAAAATATAGGTGTGAATATGGCCTAATACACACACACATACACACACAGAAACAACAACCCCGTCCCCCCACACACTCATTAATACACAATAATACAGGCCCCCCACATACATAAAATAATATTTTCCTC